CGACAGCTTGTTCGCTCTTCTGAACCGCTTGAGGTTATCCTCCAAACGGGATCAGGCTGCGGAACATGCAAAGCAGGTTCTCGAGGCCCAGATACACTCCGTGCTTATTTACATGTCGGATATTATTGCGCGATACAGTAGTTATTCAGTGGTTTCCCAACGCGTACAGTGGTTATCAATTAGAAGTTGATTTTAGGCACGACTGTACCGAACATCCTAAAGGGTCGAACCCAGTTGAAACAAAACTTCATAATAAGATGTAAAGAATGTCCATGCAAACCGAGAGCAACTACAGATCACGAATCACTGAAACGAATTAGGAGGAAAGACAAAAACAAATGGAAAACAAAATGATGATGGTAACGTCATTTGTTGGCAAAAGACTAAGTGGAAAAGGACGACAGAAACGCAAAGCAAAATAAAGTTCACTGTTTGAAACCCAAGGTTATTTTGATAATATATTTCCTTCATCTGTATGCCCTAATGCGTTCTTTGTTCTCCAATTAGGTCGACACATATTCTGGAATCGCCAGATTAGAACCATATTTCAGGTACGACCAGATCAGACCTAACCACAGCCAATCCACATGTCATGCGAAGCGGTGGGACTCATCGGAGACAGCGTCGCGGCCAGGTCTGCCACAGCCAGCTAATAATGTGGTCTCGCAAGGACAGTTGCATGACGGCCAGCCCCGCCAGTGACAGTATGAGGACAGGACCCTTCAGGACCAGTACAACTGTTGGTCTTACCAGAACTAGAGGAGCGGCCGGTTCCGCCAGTCACACTGTGACGAAAGACCCCCTCAGAAGCAGCGGCCGGCCGCTATATCGACGCCGCGGCTGGTCGCCGGCGCTGTCCCGGCCTCAGTCAACCTGGCGTAACTCGCCTATTAGACAGCCCCACCGTACCAAGCGCAGCGGACGGTCCGAAGCAAGATCCTCTTGTCGTCTCATGCCACGTTAAAGACGAAAGATTAAACAAGCTAGGGAGTTTTAACGAAGACTGGTGGCTATTGTGAACACCCGTCAGTGGTAGCTAGACTCTTTTTTAGCAGTGCCCTGCTGTTAAAGACAGTATCTTGACCGTCGAGATACGTCGTAGGGAATCCCACATGAGAGTTCTCGGGGAATTGTGAGGCAGTCCGATAGCGTCTTTCGAAGTGTGAAGAGGACTCTAGAAACTCTGGCTTAAAGGAATGTCACGGTCTCCTTTACAGGTACAGCGCTGATGAAGGGGCGCAAGTTACAAAGGACTCATTAAGTATGTTGTTTTTAATAAATATGATACTTTAACGGGATCTGTTCTCTTAAACACGCCCTGGGAAATAAGCTTTTCAACAGTTTGGCCGGTGGTTCCTGCCGAGATTCTTCGAACAGCTTACGATAGAGTCTCCCTGAGCCAGGCCAACCGCATCAGAACTCTTTGAGTGCATCCTTAGATCAAATCTGTTTGTAGTGAAACATACTGTCACGCCATGCAGCGCTGCTGGGGCAGTTTTGGCGTTCTCCGGAAACACAGCACTCTCGCTCTTAGGAATTCAGCATTCGCTGGCATTCTTCATTTGACAGGGGTCCGGTGGACTCTTTCTAAACCGATAGAACTCAGAAGATTTGTCAGAATTTTTATCTGGGCTCACGGAGGTATTAAGGCCCCCGAGAATGTAGACTTGGGATCTCAATAGGTCAACAAGTCGCCAAGTCAACATGACCAGGCCATGTTCGTCTGAAAATGTTCCACATTGTGTCATGATCGATTAATGATACAAACGCTGTAACATGGTTTTGAACACGCGAGCTCGAAAAATTTTCAACAAGACTGTCGACCTCGAGTTGCAGGTCCTTGGGGAGGTTTCAGAGAAATAGACTAAGTGGACACATAGAATATTACGTTTGGGTGACAATAATGGCTTCCCAGCCCCTGGGTGGCTGGCAGTGGTGGTGGAGGGGGGGGGGGGGGCGGCCCCCAGCTGGTCGGGATTTGCCTGATGTCACCGGGCGGATTGAGGTTGCGCTGTGCCTACCAGGTCCCGGTGGCCATCGCATCCACCACCCGCAGGGCCCAGTTGGGTACCGGCTGGCCACGCGAGAGGATGTCCCAGCCTGCCCGGGTGGGACTGGAGGTCGCGACCGACGGATCGAGGGTGTGTCTGTTCGGCCCAGGCCGCGGGCACTGGCCGCTGACCTCTCACGCTCGCTGACGGCGGGTGGCTACCAGCGACACGTCTTCAGCCAACGACGGTGGCCGGCTGCCACCAGCCGGCTACTGGCGGGTGTGGAAATGCCCGACGCCTTGCATGTGGGTCCAAAGTAGTGACGGTCGTGACGTGCCTGGTGGCGTTGATCACGGGATGTGTTTGAGGAGATCCAGAGGGGCCCGAGCACTCGTCGGGACCAAAGATCGAGGGCCTGATCGGAAGGGTGAAGGGCCAGGACTGACTGTAGTTCACATTAGGGATACCCTCCCGCCCGGCCAGAGGTCACCAACGCCGAACAGTCGGCTCCGTGCAGGCTCTGAGTTCTCGGGGCCCATTTCCCGAGCAGGGACAAGGTCGGGCCGCGATCTTCATTGGTCGGGGCCCCTGAAACAATGTATGGCCTCTGTATTGGTCAGAGGCCCACAGTGCCTAACAAGGTATTCGGTGTCAATTAGCGGCCTCGGGTCGGTCATGGAACATAAGCTCAACGGGGACGGAGACGGGACCCTGAACTGACAGAAGGCCTCCTGCGCTGGTCGGCGCCATCTGAAAATGGAAGCAAACATGAGAGTATATGATGAGTGTTCTCGTTGAGACAAGGAATGCCAGGCCTGAGAGCAGGAGTGTCCCTTTCTAAAACAGGTTAGGGCTCAGCCGACTAGGTAAACCTAACCCACCCCAAAACCTGATTTATTACCGAATTTATACTTTTTTTGTAAATTCGGAAGCTTGAATTTATGTTCCCAATGTCAAGGATTACTTTTGAAAACATTTGGGCGAATAAAGGACTGCTTTGCAAAGGAAAATATTTCCTATTTCATGTCCATGTGAAGCTGCAGCTCTATAAGAGACTTAGAATTAGGCTAATTCCCAAAAAACACCTTAGTTAGACGGTCCGATGTAATCACTGGAGGGAGACCTTGTTTATCGTTGCATATCGTTGTATAACGACCTCATTTACGGAAAATGTATTCCGTGCACTGACAGGAAGCACCGGCACTTAACAGTGAAATTGAGCTTGTACGGGCCAGATAGACATGTGGATAACTGGAAAGAGGGAGCAGGTAAAGCTGGTGATCAGATGGATCACTAGAATGGCAAACGTAACAGACAGCAAGCCATGCGCTTGTGATGTTCCAGCATAATGAGTCGGGAGTTTGCTGGAAACCATCGACCTTCGGTTTAGAAGGTCGAAAAGGTCTTCAGTTTACTGGTTGAGCAACGTCAGCAAGCAAGCACTGATCACACTGAGTTTCGGAGCTGTGATCATGGTCGGACATCTTCGTTAATTCCGGTAACACTACGCTAATTCTTCTTTCACTCTGGAGCATACCGCATAAAATGTGCCGATTTTATTCCTCGACATCATTTTTGTGATGGAATGAGGTGGAAGATGCGCTGCAAAACTATACTTTAAGGCAATGGCCGCCATCATTTTGCATAACATTACGGCACACATTTATGAGTCTAAGAAAGTAGCCCCTTCAACCCAGATGCGGAAAGCGGCGATGCACTTTCTGCTCCCCAGCCGTGTGAGAAAAGCCATGCCTTCTTTTCCGTGAGCGTGGCTACCCGGAATCCCGAGTGAGATCCGCCTCTTGTGCAATACTCTGTAGATTTAAAACAAGGCAGTGCGCACAGGGTTGGATACACCCTCTCCTGAACAAATTTATGGCGCGTATTAATATGTAAGCGACTAATTGTTGACGGTTAAAAACGCCTGCGTAGATACGTCAAGAGCAAAACGACCGAGAATATGGGATGCCGTTTTAAGACATAAGAAATTGCGCGCGCGTCCAGAGCGCTTAGCTAGACTTCCATTTTCTGTCATGCTTTCCCCGTTCCCACCCACCCATCGTAACTTCCTGCGTACGCCCCTGTTTAACAATACATCAGGTTCGCCATCAAGTCATAGGAAGGCCAAACTAACAACTTGCACGCAGATGTAACTTCCGATCATAGATAGCTATGATCATATGCATAGCTATGATAGCTATGCAAACAGGTGAATAAAACCGTACCATCAGTTTATTTGCACGGCCTTAAGGCAGCGTGGGCGGGTGATGCTAGTCCTAAGTCCATTGCAGCTCGATGGCCGTCGAGACCCCAACGTGTCCAGCTATATCTATCTATCTAACTTTACATATATATATATATATATATATATATATATATATATATATATCATATTAATACTAGTATATGTATATGCATGTGTTTAAGTCATCTCTTGAGTAACAATGCATTGCAAAATTGCCACAATCATGCGTTTTCGATCATTTAAATCAGTGTGGTTCGAGTGCGACATGCAGCCAATTCTTTTCCAGAGGCAATCGGGATCAATTTTGTGTATCCCTGATGGAACCCTATATGTGCACGTTCCAATCCAGCAATCAGCAGCTGAGTGACAAGACTACGACGCTACTGGCCGGCGTGAAATCTCGCATCATGGATTTAGCCCATCTAACCGACGCACCTGATCGATTTTATGGCGGGCGGCTCAGACCGGCTGGTGTCGTGCCGAAGCGGACATCGGCTGCACTAGACCGGTTGGACTCGGGAAGCCAACACTGGTCTGATGATGACGTGCCGGCGATCGTTAGCCCCGGCCACCCAACTCCTCCCAGTGCGCGTGGCGACCCGGACGCCCGTGCGGTGGATCTGCCGAGTTGCATTGCTTCTTGTCGGCAGCTGGGCACGGAGGGCGTCCGTCTCTCTAGTTTCTCTTTCGCGCGATAGATGGCAGCAGACGCAAGCAATCAATATCATCCGTCCCGCCGTGGCTTTGCTGTCCGGCTTCGGACCAGTGGGAACCTGCATCCTTTGGGAAAATCAGTGTGCAGTGGTTGTGTGAGCCGTTGTTGAGAGTGGAGCGGTGACGCGGGCGGCGCCTCCGAGCCGGCGAGCTCTACGCAGTGCGTGTCCGGACGGGCCGCCAGCCAGCCGTGCTCCCCGCAGTCAGCCAGGCGCTCCCCCCACGCGGCGGGCCAGGGAGGCGTGCTCGTCCAGCGGGGAGGCGGGCCCTCTCCGGACTACGGGGGCGGCGGGAGCGGCCGTGAAGAGGCCATGTCGGATCCAGCACGCTGCGTCGACTGAGGTACGGAGCTAGCCGTCAAGACCACCCCGAACTAGCAACTTTCGCGATTTCGGGTGACGTAGAATGGGATATGGATTCTGCCTTATCTTTCGGCACGATGGTGTTAGACACTTTAAGGCATTCGTCAAGCTCCAAGAGTTACTTGGCTTGGTTTTCTTCGGACAAAGAAAACATTCGGGATCTAAAACTGGTTTCTCGAACCCCACGAACACCTGAAATATTACCTTTTATCTGCTTTGTTTTGCACTACATAATGTCAGAGATTAAAACGCTGCGATGATTAAATTACCAGCATGATGCTCTGATCTTTTGGTCAGATTATGCAACAAACTGCAAAATGATCGCAGTGCGAAGAGAAATTGCATTTTCAAAGCAAATTTACGCGGCAAATTAGGACAGTACGCCGCAACCTTTTGCATCCGTAGCCAAAATCACTCCTGACAAGGCCAGCCCTTTTGAGGAAAAATGCCTGAACTGAACTATGTATATAAACTCCACAAGCAGTGGCTGTTCATCGGCAGGTAATTCATCTTGTGGTTGTCATGGATGCCATTGCGCTGCGGCATGTGCAGACACGTTAACAGTACTCACAGGATGATTTTAACGGAATGCGCTGTGACAGGAAAAAGCTCCTGCAAAGATGAGCTACTGTCATGACAGTGTGTCAGATTACAAACGTCCTACAGCCGTCATAGCTTATGCATCGATATTTCTCTAATGAACTAGCTGGAGGGGAAACAAAGGCGAGTGCAGAGTAAATTCGAATTCACAACGGGCAGAGAGAGTGAGAAAGGAAAGGGGATCGTCGCATGCCTTTGGCGTTCGAATGCTGCCAGTACACTACGGTCTTCGTCAACTCCACCTCATTATCTCGTGAGTTTCATTCTGGGTTGCCGCAGCTGTAGGTAAAGAGTCGGTGACCCTTCATACACTGTGGCCGGACGGTCCCAGGAGATGTCGGCACGGCTGTTTGCCCTCTGTACGCACGAAGGCGCTACCCCGACTTCAGAACTCTTGCAACAAGACAAAGCCATGACCGGAGCGCTGACCTGGCGTGACCTGATCTGACCGGGTCTGACCTGACCTGACCTGCCGCCGGACGGTCGCAGCACGGCGGCGCGGCCGACGCGTGCTGTGCAGGGTCTCACCACACCTGGCCGCCGTCGGCCGGCCGCCTTGCCGAGCACATGCCGACGCGGCCGACCCTTGACCCGGTCAGCCGCGTAATGGAGGCGCCAGTCAGGACAGTCGCAGACCGATCGCCCGGCGGCCATGCATTATGCAGCAGCACTGCGTGACCGCCCGGCGCGGCCAGAATATCATATCGTCCCCGGTCATTTCCGGCCGCGTCCGGGCGCGGACGCGGGCGCGGCGCGTGGGAGAGCCGCGGGGCTGCCGCGGCGCGTGGGAGCAGCAGCCGCGCGCGACGCGCGCTGCCGCGGAGAGGGGAGCTGTGGAGGGTGGAGGAGAGGGGGGGGGGGGGGCGGTGTTCATGTAATGCGTCACTGTCAACGGCGTCAGAATGAGAGACCGGAGAAGCTCGGTCAATGGACCGCCCGTGTAATGATTCCCGCTCCCGAGGGGGTCCACGGCGATGACCTAGTTGACCGACGCCGTCACGCCGACGACGTGATTTGTGATCTCCCGTTATGAAGATGGAGCCTTTCTTGCAGCAAATGCGTGAAACGTTTGGCCGCGTTTCGAATTTTTGCGATGATCTTAGCCCCAGGACGCTGCCATCGGCGAATTTTTGGCTTAACGCCGAAAGCTTAAGACCACCGCCTCTCGCCCCCCTGTTCCGAAGCCATCGCCCGAGGCCCCAGCATTCCGAAGCCGTCACATCAAGCTCTCATCTCCCGAGGGCTTCACTGTGGCCACTCACCTCCTGTGGTCCTCCAGCGAGCTCGGCCGACGGTCGCCAATAACTCGTCGGCAGCTGGCTAGATGTCTCTGACATCGGCTGACCGGCCGGCTGAGCACTGCCCCGCCAGCCCGCGGCGGCAGCTGAGCACGGCCAGTTAATAGTCGAATCGATAGCTGCCAGGGTCGTATGATGCGGCCTGTTGGTTGGCGACACAGACTTCCGGCGCCCGCCGAGGGTGGCACCGGTCACCACCCGGACCGCGGCGGCCGGCCGCTCAGCGCACAGACTTCCGGCGCCTGCCGAGGGTGGCACCGGTCACCACCCGGGCCGCGGCGGCCCGGGTGGTGGCGGCCGCGGCGGCCCGCCAGACAGACTTCAGCTAGCCATGTCTCCTTGGCGCGGAACGGCAGCCGCGGAGCTCAGTCGCCCTCGCGTTGAGCTGGCAGCACTAAGCGGGGCTCAGTCAGATTGGGCGGGCAGCACCAGGCGGGGCCCGGTCAGGTTGGGCGGGCAGCACCAGGCGGGGCTCGGTCAGATTGGGCAGGCAGCACCAGGCGGGGCTCGGTCAGATTGGGCGGGCAGCAACAGGCCGGGCTCGGTCAGATTGGGCGGGCAGCACCAGGCGGGGCTCGGTCAGGTTGGCTGGGCTGCCGCCTGCTAGAGGCAACGCATGCGGAAAGGCAAGACACGCATCTCTTCTAGAGTTCACACTAGCAGGAATGTAGTCAGCTCTAGCTAGTTGACCACTACCTCATGCCTAGTTGGTGGGGGTGGGTTGGGAGCTCTAGCTTCTCCGCTGACTTAGGTTCCCACAACTTTGAGAAGGAAGTGGACGAAATCCAAAAGAAAACCTTTTGTTGGCATATCTTGGGTGCGTGTCTTGCAATCACAGCAGGCGAGGTGAATTTTCATACTTTTCTTTAAATTTTATAAAAGCTGCACATATTTTTTTCTGTTAGGATCTGTTAATGTATCTATAAGAGTGGTGCTCGTGGTATTACTAAACATATTCTCATGTACCGGCTCATTTTAGTGGGTTCATGACTCATCTTTTCTGCCGGACGCTGAGGCAGAAATCAGGTTTTGGCGTCCCATAGCGTAAAGGAGCAGGGGCTTGATGACATCCTGTAGCAACTGGATATTCCAGATGGTCACGCAAGCCAGTCTGGACTGTGTCAACTTATTACATGTGGGGCAAACAAGCAACAAAAACCACAGTTAATGACGTAGTAGCATGTGAACAGTTAAGAAGCTCACACAGTTTATAATTATATAATTCATGGTTTCCACAGGTCACATAGCATATTACAAATGTTACCAGATTGACACAAAACTTTGGCAACCCCCAACGTGCGCGATAACCAGCGTTAGCGCGTCTAAAATGGGACAATGCTTGCGTAGAACGCAAAGCTGCAACCTACCCATGTCGTTTTCAGATACCTTAGATCAGCACCCGGCTGACACCACCTCAGCCAACCAGCGACACCCACAACCGAATACACGCGCTGTAATCGCCGAGACGTCCGCCCGCCCGCTATACGCGAGCGCAGTAAGGTGCTAGGCTTGAAAATACTGTATCTGCCTCCGTGGCTACAACAGCCAATCAGCGTCGAGGTAACAGCAACGCCTCATCCGTCAAACCATCCGCGTCAAGTTGAAGTATCGCAAGATTGTAGAAGCATTCAATATGACGGCGAGGCTGCTCTTTCGAATGTAGTCACACTGCCACATTAAGCTGTTAACTCGGCATGCACTTTGGCGAAGCCTTCATAACCCTCATACTCACAGGAAAGCGCAAATTCGTAGGTGTTCATTCAAATGCATTTTACCATGATCAACGCAGTACGTCTTCGGCATCATGATTGCGCTAAATTATGGTTGCGTTAGTATCGTTGGCCACGGTTTGATGCGTCTTCGGGCTTTGCATTACATCTTTCTCAATCTGACAACCGTTTGTCTTCACATTCAAACGGGGCTGTTTTGCAAATGCATATTTTGTGCCGCTTTAATAAAATGATTCGTTCTTTACCCCGCACAAATACTACAAGGAAGTGCTAAGCCAGCATTTCCACACAGCTCGCTGGGCAGCACCCGAACGTCATACAAACGTTCCCACGCAATTAAAAAATGACGTATTGAGCAGCATATTTACTAAATAAGGAAATGGTATTATCCAGGGCTGCACTTCAATAGTACTGAAAAGTATACCAACAGTTATAAGTGAGCTTGTTCCAGCATATCTTATGTTTTTTTCTTCAATATCTGCAGACGTCGAGCATTCCCTTTAAAGGTTGCTCTTAACAACATTTCACCGTTTACTAAACGTTTTCTTCAATACGCCACCGTTTGATTTCGTCATGGAACGTACTTAGATCACAGAGTGTTTTTGGAACCCAAATGCCGTTATACACTCATATTTTTGCCCTTCATTTTGGTATTCTTGCTCATTTATTCTTGATTTTATATCGTTTGCTTGCATTCGCATACACGGTCATGGCACCATTTTTAACACGCACCCGGGTGGCCGGCTGGATGACCCTTCGCACAGGGCGGGATCAATTTGACCGCCGCTGAGATCTCAGGAACTAAGAGAGCTAAAAACATTTAATTCACAGGGTGTCTTGACCTGCGCATGAAACCAGTTTGGTCAAAATTTGGGGTTTCTATGCCATGACCTGGCCAAATAAGGTCAATCAATGTAAATTTCGGATTGATCTCCAAGGAGCCCCTAGAAGCTAAGTAACTCTTCTAGGCAAAAGGACACATGCTCAGTTAAGGTTAGTGGCCTTGCTAACCGTTTGGAGGTCATGACGACCAAAACCATACAAGACTGCTTTGAGTGTTGCGTTTGAATAAGCGACAAAAAATACGCTAGGAAGTATGTATCTAAAAACAAAATGTTGACCTGGGCCATTTTCAGTAAGTGACCTGTTCTGTTCTAAAATAAGTCAATGGAAGGTGTATATGCGGTTCCTGTTATCAATGAACTCGAAATAAGCACCATATGCTACCGCATACAGCAAGCTCCAGATAAATAAAACAGGTTGGTTTTGACCCTGGTCTGACCTTTATAACTGCCTTAGGTCAACGTAATTCGCTCATTCACCATTGACGTTGCCTGAGAAAGCATTTTTAG